TAACAGGAGGAATGTATAATACATACACTATTAGAATTTCATGAATGGCTGATACAGGGTAAATTTGATCTAAAAATCTGATGATCCTTTAAAGAGCAGTCTTCTATGTGATTATTATTACAACTCATTAATTCAGCCTATGAAGCACATAACCCAAGTTCTATGCACATACCATTTTTTTGATAATTGTTGTTAGAGGTAATATAATTACCTTTTTTTTTCATTAAGGTTTTTTTTTAGAGCTGTTTTAAGTTCGTAGAAAAATTGAAGGAAAGGTACAGAGATTTCCCACATATTCCTGCCCCCGTTATCAGCCTTCTCCTCCTTCCCCCCAGTGGTGCATTTGTTACAACTGATGAACCTACATTGACACAGAATAATCTAATTAGGCGTATAGTGGTATCTCGTTGTTTTAATGTGCATTTCTCTGATGAATATGATGGGGACCATATTTTCATATGTTTATTTGCCATTTATATGTCTTCCTTGGTGTTTATTCAGGTTTTTGGCCCACTTTTTAATCGGATTGTTAGTTTTCTTATTGTTGAGTTTAAGGATTTCTTTATATATTTTGGATAACAGTCCTCTATCAGTTGTATCTTTGCAAATATTTTCTCCCGGTCTGTGACTTTTCTTCTTATTCTCTTGACACAGTCTTTTGTAGAGCAGAAGTCTTTAATTTTAACCTAGTGTAGCTTATCAATTATTTCTTTCATAGATTATGCCTTTGGTGGTGTGTCTAAAAAAATCATCGCCATAACCCAGGTCACATAGGTTTTTTTCCTATGTTATCTTACAGGATTTCTATAGTTTTGAATTTTATACTTAGGTCTGTGATCCATTATGAAGTAATTTTTCTGAAGAGTATAAGGTCTGTATCTAGATTCAGTCTTTGGCATGTGGATGTCCAGTTCTAGAACAATTTGTTGAAAAGACTCTCACAGCTCCATTGTATTGCCTTTCCTTTGTCAAGGATCAGTTGAATATATATAATTGACTTTCGAGACATAGAAATACAAGCAGTAGACCCAAATAGAGGGCTGATGCTGATTTGCCAGCCCAGTGCCCATCACCTCAATGTTACCCGGTATTATTTCCGCTTTGGGTATGACTGAGGATTGTATGTAAAAAAGAAAAAAAGCCATTAAGCACCCAGATGCAAGCTAAAGGAAGCTCCTTGACATTACATTACAGGATATTCCAAATATATATATGTATATATTTTGCTTATTATGGTAGATATTCTGATCTACTGCCATGTCTCATTCAGGACTGAGGACTTATTCTCCAGTTGCTGGGGGTGTTGTCAGCAGAAAGTTGGCAGATAACAGTACCCTCTCAGGCTTCAGGATGAAGAGAGCCATTTGCCCAAACTCACAACCATTTCCCAGGGCAGCCGGTACCCAGTGACTGAACAATATGGGAATACCAAAGTCCAACCCCCTGGCCCCAGTCAGGGAAAAATCTGAAGGGTCATCTCAGCCTCACAACACCTGAGTCTTTCTTTGGAAATGACTGAACCCCAGCTTAGCTTCTCCTGCTGGCAAACTTTCTTCCACAGCTTCGCTTCCACAGGAGTTGACCCCAAGAGTACTCCCTAATAAACCTCCAACCTCCTAATCTCTGTCAGAATCTGCTCCTCAAGAACTCAACATGCAACAGTTAGTAATTGAAGTTTGCACTGAATAACCATCTTTACAGAGAACTAAGAACGGAGGTAATAGGGCTAAAACTCAGGGCTTGGGAACTAGGTTGTGATACAAGGTGTGGGATTGACCAAAAATGGTTCTAAATTCTCAGTGCCTGAGCAGTGAGCTCCCACCCCCTTCTCCCTGTGGGAGGTGTTGTATTACCTCTGTGTGGGGACCGTCATATCCCAGGGCTCCAAATTATCTAGGGTTTGAGCAGCAGGTAATCTGAGACAGCTCCTATAAATAGCTAAAACCCCAAACCAGATGGCCTAGCACAAAAGTGGTTTAATTATTTTCCCTGACGAAGCTGCTGTCTCACATCTACCCTATGAAAGGCAGAACAGCAGAGAGAGCAAGTTCTCTTCACTGGAACATAGGACCTCGTCCCCCCCTGTGATTTCCCACATGTCTAGCAGACACTCGAAGCTCTTCAAGCCTCTCAGAGGATACACAGAAGGAAGAGCAGGGGCTTCTCTTCTTTCACTGACACTGGCCTCGCTTCACTTTCCCTTTCTCCACAAAAGTCTGTGCCTTCACCCTGTCAGCAGGGTTGTAGAGTTTATCTTGAATCTTCATGGCTGACAAACGGAGATGTCTATGGAATCTTCTTTATACAACAAGTGTAAGCATGAAGGCATGAATTCTGCTTAGTACCAATTATGACTTTTTTGAAAGGTCAAAAGGTTTTAATGGCTACTCTGTGGATAAAAACAATCCCAGCAGTGAAGACAGATCACTGGGAGAGCCAGTAGGGAGGGGGGTGGGAGGGCTGAATATCTCCAAAGCGTGAGAGAGGATAGCCTAGTGTGAGAAGTTGCCAGGGGCTGGCCAGATCTGACTGCCCTATGTGAAGTGAAAGCAGCACCTGTGTGCAGGGACCCTGAGGGATTCCTCACAGTTGCCAGGGCGACAGCTAGATGGTCCAGGGAGCACATATCCTAGATGGAGGAACTACACCCAAGCTCAGCTTCTTCTGGGATCATTGGCTTCCTTCTCCTAGCAGGAGAGAATGCACCTTCCTCAGGGTTCCCAGATCTTCAGGGATTAGGCAGGCAGAATTCCCAGAAAAAGCTATAATCCTGGGGCACCTGGATGGCTCAGTCAGTTAAGCATCTGCCTTCGGCTCAGGTCATGATCCCGGCACCCTGGGATCGAGCTCCTTGCTCAGCAGGGAGTCTGCTTCTCCCTCCCTCTGCTGCTCTCCCTGCTCATGCTCTCTCTCACTCTCACGCTCTCTCCATCAAATAAGTAAATAAAATCTTAAAAAAATAAAAAGCTGTATTCCAATCCAGATAGCCTGACTCCAGATTGGGCTGATACTTACCCACAGTCAAGGGAGCTTATATAAGGGGAGAGTATAGTAAAAGGGTTCAGGCCACTGCTTTGTGAGATGGTGGGAGAAAGTACCTTCTCTCCACTCTGACGCTGACCTCACGCATCTCCTCTTCTTCCAGGAGAAGTTATTCCTTAACCAGAACTACAGGACATTGTGTAAATCATCCCAGGCCCTGGTACAAGGAAAGCCCCATGGGTGCCACCTTGCCCACAAAAGGTCATCTAGTATTTCTCGCAAAAAATATCTTATAAGCTTATGTATAGCTTTACCTTTCAAAACACATTCACGTGCATTAACTCAGTAAGACCCACATCAGCCTGGTGAAGTTGGCAAGGGACATATTATATAATCCACACATTTTTCAGAAAGAAAAATTGGAACACAGGGTTGGATAAAGGACATTTTCCTTCCTGATATATGAAAAAAATAAGTCTTATAAATACACAGAACTTGAATCACAGCTACTTACACATGTAACGAATTATCTTTTTAAAAAAGGATAAAAGTAAATGAAGCTTGTGCTACCACAGAAGATCCTGGAATTAATGGTCAGCATAGTTACAGGGCATGAAATAAACCTTGCAGCTGGCTCTACAACTTTTGATAAAAGCTGTAAGGAGAGAGAGGCCAGACGTTCAGAGTCTCAGACAAGAGGAGTTTGGGAAAAGGAGCTAAAGTTGATGGAAAGTGATTGATAGTGAAGGACAGACCAGTCTATGATTGGTATGGTTGAGGCAAGGCAGGAAGGTCCATGTAATCTAGAAATGCGAAAGCAACTTCAGGAATGTGCCTCCAATATAGTGCCTGATGTAGCCCCCGGGATAATGTGGCCTTAGCGGAAGAGTGAGCACCTCCTCCTCTTCAGAAATGCCTGCTTTATTTCTCCTACCCTTGAAATAGGAAACCATTTCAACACCATAAGATCCATTCAATAAACACACTTATCAGAGGCCCACGTGCTGTTAGATATTTGTTGGAGGCCAAATATGAATAAGCCCTAGTTTATTCTGTGAAACAGACCCATCAATAAGTCATCACACTAGAGTATGATGAGTAATGGAAATGGGTCTCCTACTTTTGCACTTTGAAGAGCGTGACTAACCGCTGCTGATCTGAGAACTAGCAAATATTTTGCTTTCTACACATACCCGCCATCTATTGGCGGGGGCGGGGGGGGTCCACCCCACTGAGTCAATCTTCCTACAAAGTTAAGAAGGGACACGAGTTTTATTTTCCGGAACTGTGCCTTTACCTTGTACTATAATAATGTTGTCACCAGGAAGCTACGCAGGATTGTCCCTCTGAGTTTGTTATTTTTCGTAGAATTACTGGTTTTTTTTTAATTTTTTTATTGTTATGTTAATCACCAAGAATTACTGGTTTTTAAACATAGAAGGGATCCCCAGAGACTGACTACCCCAGCCTCCACGCTGCACAAAATCCCCTTCTCCAAAGTCCTGACAACCGGTCATATGAACAGGAAGTAGAGTTTTGTCTGCTTCCTTTGTTGGTGCTGAAGTGATTTACTTTAGTACAAACACTTCAAGCACAGTGCATTCTGGGAAGTGAGGATCCACAGGATGCACTTCCTCAGCACAAAACTGCTTCTAGAAACCCCGGAAAGCCCCCATGCCACCCCTGTATAGGACCTACTCATAGAGCAGATGGTTTCTAGTTTGAATTTTTGTGAACTCTCAGATGGATTAGGCTAAACATCTCTGAGCTTTATTCATAATTGCTACGGTAGGTAATTTATGCCTGTGGTAACAGTAATTTGGAGCTGTTAATGAAAATGAAGACTAATTAAAAAAAATTCTAACTCAGGCTGAAGTGAAAATATGGAGGATTCACAGGTGAACTGTATCTTAGTTTTCCTTCACTATTCCCAAGGACAAATATTACTTTGGTTGAAATAAGAAAAAGGTGCATCTTCACACAGGCTTGTACTTTGGTTGTACATTTGTTGAACGTACCTGCAGCCCTTCAATAGCCAGTTTGAGGATTGAAGGGGTCAGTTTGGAGGCTTGTTTGAAGGAAAAATTACTCCAGTCTATAATTAAAATGAAGCCATTTATCTGAAGCTCTGGATCTTCGATAAGGACCTCCAGGGACAGCAGGATGGCTCGGAGGATGTCGGTGAAGGAGTTCCTGTAGCCAAAGCAGAAAGGAGAGGCTGGGTGTGAATATTAGCAGGCGATATGTGTGTGGAGGGAAGGGTGCCTCACGCCACCGCTCTGTGAACCTGACCTGCAGGGTAACACGGGTGTCCTGTACCCAAAGTGACCACAATGTATTTGCTAAACAGCAACAATGCTTCAAGAGTCACAAGATAGAAGCCTCCCTTTGATCCGACTGTATCATCACCCCAAACTTTACAGGGTATCTCTCTTTAGTGTTTCCATTGGCTTCCATACTCTGCTTCTGGCACAAAACTGATTGCGTTTCACTGAAATCCATCCCTCACTTACCTCCCTCCCTCACAGAGCTCTGTTAACTTCGAGGGCAGGGAGTGGGCCATAATCACAGCTGTGTCCTCAGCACCTAGCTCCTCAGTGAATCATTGCTCAACAAATGAGGGGAGACCTCAATCAGAGGCACTTATTTTGATTAAACCCCTTATTCCTTTCGTATGCTTAAAATCTTGCTAAAAATATAAAAACATCCATGCAATTGACGCTATTTTTTTAGCTTCAGTTCTTGGATAGAGAAAAATAAAGCAGGAAGAATGGCTTATTTTCATTGAAGGTTTGCAGAGTGTGATTCAGGAGGGAAATGGCTTTGAGTACATCAGTAACTATGACAACAGGCAGACCTGAATATAAACGAGAGTGACAGTTCTCTAGTGTTGTATGTGTTCCTCCATGTCATATATCCCTATTCATCAGATGCTTTTTGTGTTAAATAATTTTCAGATATGAAGAAATGATGGCATTTTCATTCTGCTAATTCTCCCAACAAATTGTCTGAGCTATAAATCTAAAATCTTAGAAGATCTCTAAATTCAGTGTATTTTTTGGTAAGTAGGAAAATATAATCTTGGATGGCAAGTAATGGCAAATTCATTACCTCCTTTGGGTTTACTATTAAAATCAGAAGGCATCTCCTCTGTGAAATAAGTGTGAAATGATCAGGTGCAGGGGCGCCTGGGTGGCTCAGTGGGTTAAGCGACTGCCCTCGGCTCAGGTCATGATCCCAGGGTCCTGGGATCGAGCCCTGCGTCGGGCTCCCTGCTCAGCAGGGAGTCTGTTTCTCCCTACCCCTCTGCCTGCTGCTTCCCCTGCTTGAGCTCTCTCCCTATCTCTCTGTCAAGTAAATTAATTAAAAATCTTTTTTTAAAAATAAAAATAAATGATCAGATTCTGGGGCATTTCAACCTGGTTCAAATTCTAACCAATTCCAGTGATTCCAGATTAGAAATCAGGAAGTTTGTGATCGAACAGTAAATCAATAAGAATTTACTGAATGTCTATTATCAGCTCAGCATTGTGTTCTATACTTAAGGTTGTAAAATAGTATGTTCTATTTCTATTTTCAGAGAGCTCTTGATTTAGTTGGGGTGGGCTAGGAAATTAGCAACATGAGTTGAAAAGGATCAATAAAATCTGAGTAGTCAGGGAGTAGTTTATGGAGGGATGAAAGCTTGGGATAAACCTTAAAGGAGGGATAGGATTTTGATGGATAATTGGGAGAAGGGGCAGCAAGACATTTCAAGAAAGACGAGTGATAACAACTGAAAAATAAAGATGTACAGCCCATTCTGCTTCTGGACAGTTCTGTTTAGTAAAATTTTTTTCTTTATATCAAGCTAAAATTTTCCTCCCCCAAATCTACTTGACGGGTGTAGTTTTGCTACAAAAGAAAAACCTCAGGTCTTCCCATGTCACATAGCTTCAACTATGTAAACATGGTGATCATGATGCCCTATATAATCTCTAGATTAAAAAAATATTAGTAACTTTAACCATTTCTCATAGGAAATGGTTTTTAATACTCTTCTCATCATTACTGTTTTCTTTCAGATGTGTTTTCTTTTAACTTCAAGAGATATCAAATTCCTGGGGTGCCTGGGTGGCTCAGTCAGTTAAGCAACTGCCTTTGGCTCAGGTCATGATCCCAGGGTCCTGGGATCGAGCCCCGCATTGGGCTCCCTGCTTGGCAGGAGGCCTACTTCTCCCTCTTCCACTCCCCCTGCTTGTGTTCCCTCTCTCGTTGTCTCTCTCTCTCTGTCAAATACATAAATAAAATCTTTAAAAAAAAGATATCAAATTCGTATTAATGTAGGATAGGTTTTCATTAGGATTCCGTTTTTATTTTTGCATCCACATCAAACATAAAGACCAAAGTCTTTTTCAGACGTACAGCTTTGTATTGGGAAGAAACATTAAGTGGAGCATAAGATTAAAGATAATGAAAATATGGAAAGGCCTAATAGTAAATTGGAAATGGCCATTAGGGAATTAGAAAGTCTGACCATAGATAAGCTTTCTTAGGAAGAGCACACACATGGAGAAAATGAGGACTAAAAGCTAAGCCCTAGGTAGAGCTTATTTATAGTATTGAGTCAAAGGAAGAAGAAAGAAATAAAAGATAAGATAAAGATAGTATTAGGTTAAAAAAAGAGAAAGCGTTTCAAGAAATAAGGGTAGGATCTGGGGCGCCTGGGTGGCTCAGTTGGTTGAGCGACTGCCTTCCGCTCAGGTCATGATCCTGGAGTCCCGGGATCGAGTCCCGCATCGGGCTCCCTGCTCAGCAGGGAGTCTGCTTCTCCCTCTGACCCTCCCCCCTCTCGTGCTCTCTCGCTCATTCTCTCTCTCAAATAAATAAAATAAAATATTAAAAAAAAAGAAATAAGGGTATGATAGATTGCAAATGTTACTCCTTGTTCTTTTGCCTTTGGACGTCGCCATGGTAAAAACATGCTACAGCTGGCATGCTGGGCTGAAGAGAAGGTTGAGGAACACAAATCAGTGACTCCTCAGCCAGCTAGCAGATCTTCATGAGAAGCAGAGCCACCCTGCTGAAGTAAGGCTAGATAAACTCAAGCTGTCTCACAGATGCATGAGCAATAATAAATGATTATTTTTTTAAGCCACTGAGTTTGAGGATGATTTTTTACACAGCAATAGCTATCCAATATCAGAGGGTAAGTTAACCAAGTCAATGCAACAGCATAAATTAGAACTAGCACCTCTTCTCATCACTTACCCACTTGTATCCACTTCCAAGAAAAGATAAGGAACTCTGTCTAGAAATGTGGAAAATATTTTATGTATTTTCAACACCAAAACCTTACGGCAAGATAGGCATTGTCAGTGAATGAAGTTATTATATTCATGGGATGATCTCAGGAGAAAAGTGAAAGGATTCTGGACTTCATTATAGTTTCCAAATGTTCAAATGCTTCACTTTTCCAGAGGAACTGGATAAGCGGGAAAAAATTGAATGGAATGTGTTTCAAGTCATCGGCTTTAACCCCTGTCGAAGAGTGCAATCTCATCTCATACCATAGTTATGATCATTATCTTGAATTCCTTACTTCCTGGCTTCCTCATATGGATTTCCTCATTTTTTCCTCATTCCTCCCTACAACACTTTTGACTTGTGAAATCCTCCCAGGTGTTTACAATTTAAAAATACCTCTCAGACCAAATATTTTATGCACATACTCTGCCCTCAAGGAGGTTGGAGCATAAATCCCCACTCCTTAAGTGTGGGTTGAGCATAGTGACTTCCTTCCAAAGAGTACAGGATGGAAAGGGAAAAAAAGTAAGTTTACCCTGGAAAAAACTGACAAACACTACCTCAGGCAGGTGATTTGGGCCAACATCAACAGAGATAACTTGTGTTGATAGTATTGTCCCTTGATATGGTAATGAAAATGGCACTTTACCTCTGTGGTCTTCCTCCCAAAAGAACATAACCCCAGATTAATCAAGAGGAAAACATTAGACAGATTTCAGTTGAGGAACATTCTATGAAATGCCTGACCAACATGCCTCAAAATTGTCAAGTTCATTAAAAAGCAAGGAAAGTCTGAGAAACTGTCACAACCAAGAGGAGCCTAAGAAGACATGAAAATTAAATGTAATGTGGTATCTTGTGGGATCCTGGGACAGAAGAAAGATATCAGGTAGAAACTAAGGAAATCTGAATAAATAATGGACTTAGTAAATTAAAATGTATCAATATTGGTTTATTAGTTTGTAATAAATACACTATAATAATATAAGATGTTAATAATGGGGGAATTGGATGCAGGGTATAGGGTAACCCTCTGTGCTATCTTCATAATAATTATGTAAATTTAAAATTGCTCTAAATAAAAAGGCTTTTTTAAGTGCTTAGTAGAGTTTGTAATCTGTCGTGCTAAGTTTCCATGAATCTTCTATCAAGGTTTCTAAGTAAACCAAAATGAACAATTCAGCTATTATAAGTAAATTATAGAAATGAGAGCAGAAGAAGACATTTCCGGAATTTGTTCATTCTACTAACTTATTTAGATTTTTACGTTGTTTAATAACGCACAGAAAAAAATTTATTTTCTGTATTGTCTACAATTACAATTCCATCAGAGTATTTTATCACTTGTATCAAAAGGAAAAGATGAAAAATGGACATTTAGAGTTTTTGACCCTTTCTCTATAACCTGCATAGCATTTATATAGTCAGTTATGGACTGTATCAGTTTTTGATTGATAATTAAAAGCACAAATGTGATAATATATATGAAAGCACTATATGAACTACAAATTGCCAACAAAATGTAAATAACTGTTAGTAGAAAACTTCAACTCCCTCCCCCCAACAAAGGATAATACATTTATATTCATTAGGACTTACTCATGGTTTATCTAAGGGTTTTCATCATTACACTGTGAGCACTTAGAGATTATAAATAGTGGCTTATTTTTAGGTTCTATTGTTTTTATGAGTGGAGCACCCAATATTGTTACCTGAGGCTTTAAAATTTAGTAACAGCATACTATAAATGAGATGCAAAATAGTGGAAAATAGTAAGCCCTTTACCAATGAGAAGATATTTGAGCTTCAAGAAGTGACTCCTTTGTACTTTAAATTTTTAGTAAAGATTCTAGAACCTAGAACCTAGAACCTAGAACCTAGATCCTACACTCCTATAAGAAAAAAAG